CTCTTTCTTTTTCTTTTCCACGTCATCTTTCGCGCTCTTATCTTCCTCTTTGTTCAACGATGGTTTTAGATGTTCTTTTTTCGCCGGCGTTTTATTCTTTCCATCCTCTTCTCTCGGATCCTCCGGAATCGGTGACGGTGTCCTCATTTCCGATGTTGTGCCTTTTTCCATATTAGTACTTATAGTCTTTAATAATGTTTTCTTCAACAATGGATTTGTAGCAATTTCATTAGATATTCGAACAGATTTTTGAACTCCTTCTTCATTTTCCTTTTTATTTTCTGAAAATAATATACGTTAAAATGACAGACATATTTCAGGCAAATATATTATTTTATTCGCCCACAATGGAAGCAATGGGAAGCGAAACGATAGAATTATTAATTGCTACACTATTAATACATGTTGATATAGAAGTAGGATTCTTATAAACTATGAAAAATATATTTTTACCAATAGTTAACATTCTGCTTATGGAATAAAAAATTTACTTCAAATGTTTTGAAGTTATCTGTTTTCCAATTACGCTCATTCATTCGTGTTCATCAAAGAATTTATGAAGAGATATCAGATAGTAGAACAATAATACCTGTACTTTTTTGGATTTACCATCTTTTCATGGACGAACAATACGATAACAAGATTCATTCAATTCATTTTTGATAAAGATATATAAATGTATATAGCAAATATGTCAGAAATAACAAAGATATACTTGCCTTCTCCTTCTCCTTCTCCTTCTCCTCCTTCTCCTTCTCCTTCTCCTTCTCCTTCTCCTTCCGCCGCTTTGGGCCGGCGCATCATGAATTTCGCATAAGCGATCCTCGTAGTCGGTGACACTTCCATCAAATTTGGATTATAATCTACCAAACGATTAGGATCTAACGAAGTCAGATCCGAGTTCGGTTGATGGCCAAGTCTGCGTATACTGCGCCTCGTTTGTTTTTCAAGTGCCTCGTTCGAGCTGCCAATAGGATCCTTGGCAATCGTGTTCTGTCGTACCATGGCGTTCCAATCTTTCTTCTTATTTGCGCTGCTCTTGCGGCCAATCGCTTTCGCAATTTGACTGAACACATCCTTCGGCTCTTTCTCACTTTGGATCACCGCGTTCACTATACCCTCCACTATACCGATCTGGAAGTCCTTCTGGAGTCGGCGTTCCATCACACGACCCTTCTTCCCGGATACTAGAATAACAAAAAATTCTTGTGTTTAATAATTTTTTTTCCCCTTATTTCTGATTATTAAAGTATCCTTTTCACAATGATCTTTCTGTGTAATTAAACATAAAGTTTAAAGTTGGTGATTAATTTATTTTCCTTTAGATTAAAAAATTTCAATTTGGATAATGAAGTGAAACAATAATTTTTCGTATTTTGAATTTTTGATGATATCATGTATTTTACAATATCTATTGTATTTTTTTTCTTTTTATTCTTTCCTTATTCCCTAAGGGATATAATTCATTACATGCACTATTTTCGCGATTAAATTATTCATATAGAAGCTTTATAGAAGCAAGATATAAGGTGATAAAAATTATTGTAAAATACAGTTCATGATACACGTTAAATTATTTACAGATTTTGATTAGATAATTAAAAAATACTCGATCGGCACGTTTTATGATAAGTTCGGATAACAAATTAAAAATAAATCATTCAGAGTTTAAGTGCTTCTTGTGAAATATTTATTCGTAATATAAATAATATGACATTAAAGCATAATCGTATTGATTCATTCTCGCACATCGCTACTTTTTAATTAAAAATCTTCCTTCTTATCTGCAATTAATATAAAATCAATAATTTTTTTAATACGTGTGCTGATATCCGATAACAAATTTCTCACTCATGCTTGGCACATATTACATAGAATAAATAAAAAAAACGCGAGTCATTTGTTACACAGCACGTGTGATAAATATTGAATAATTGAAATTTTATTTGATCCTTTCTTGAATCAATTTTTTATAAATTGCAATAATGAAGTCAATATAGGCGAAGATAATTCGTAAACTTACTCGCGGTATCCTGTTTCTCGACCATAGGTGTTCTCATTCCATTTTGTCGAAGAATATCAATCAACTCGTATCGTAATGTGGAAATGTCCTGCCTGATTTCCATTACATCGTCCTCGGTGATACCAAACTGATCTCGTTTCCTTTGTTCCGCGGTCACATATCGTCTGATTAGTAATCGCATAACCGTGTCGTGTCTCGCCATTGCCTTCTCTCTTGATTTTTTCTGCAAATTATTTTCGAAGATATTTGAAATTTCTATCGATTGTTTTACGGGATGCATCTCGCTTTTTTCTCTTCATTCGACTGTGAAAGTGATTCTTATTCTATCTAGCAATAATAATACAAATTAATATTTAATTATATATTTACTTGATTTATTATTGAAAGCATTTATCGATTGTTTTACGCTCTAACGGGATGCATATCGCTTTTTTCTTTTCATTCGACCCTGAAAGTGATTCTTATCCTATCCAGCAATAATAATACAAATTAAAGATGTTTAATTATATATTTACTTGATTTATTACTGAAAGCATCGAATAACTGCAATTAACTGTAGCACCAAAGAGGTTATACAAAGAGCAATCGAGTATAGTAATTATGAATAAATATTGTTCGATTATTTTTAATAATGTTAATATAACTTTAATCGAAATTTTAATTAATTCATTTTTTTCAGATTATCTAAATCTGATATAAATTAATAATCTATTCTATTCACATAATGTGACGATAAAAATACATACGATCAGAGATCTAGTTTGACGACCAGCCTTGCCACACGACAAGATTTTGCTGAACGTTTTGGAAGTTGGGATCATGTTAAATGGGGGAGGCACGGTGTCGCCATCTTCGAAGTAACTCATCCACAAGTGGCTCCTGGCAAATTTCCATTCCGTATCGGATCTTTCCTATTCGTATTCGTATTATTCGTATTAACAAATTCGTTAATTGTTTCGCTATTGAAAAAAATTCATGAATGAAAATATACTTTATTATTTTATCGTACCGAGATTATTTGATAGGAGTTGGACATCATAGCGATAAGCATGTTTAGTAAGACGATCACATTTATCACGGAATAAGAGCCGAACATAAGCAATGCCCAGAATCTGGTGAAGCTTTTTATTCCAGTTAGATCAAACGACATTAGATCAACCATACCGAAACTGGCCCAGAAAAGCGATTGTGATGTCTCGAACAAACTGAAGATAATTATTTATAGAAAATTAATTTCCTAAATAATATTTTTTAACAGAGAGTACAATCGAATAATCGTTATATACTTGGCGAAACGTCTCCATATCGAGCAAGCTTTCTCCTGATTATCGAAATCGGGCAGATCTGGAAAATCTTTTATGTTATAGCATTTTTGTTTTTCCAGATCCGCGTAGTACCACATCAGTTGATTCATTCCTAAATTATAATTAAGTTATTAGTATAGTGCAAGAAAGGAAAAAAAAAAATGATTGAAAAAAAACGATAAATAAGTATAAAAAAAAATATATGGAATTTTCAGAAGAATGGAAACTATTGAATAATTGTTGAATCTTTACCAAATGTCTTTAACAAGTTAAGTAAGAAGCTAAATAAATAAACGGCAGGGAATTACTCACCACATCCAAAGGCGAACAATACCAGAGTATAGATGAAGAAGAACTTGATAATGTCTATTATCATCCTCCCGAGGGAAATTTGGAGTGGTCCGAGATGGGGGTTCACGCTGAATATGTGAACTAATTTCAAAAAACTAGAAAAAGAAAAAAACGGATATTTTCATCTCAAGTGATAATTAATTATTCAATATTTATTTTGTTACACGATTTGTTTAATTTTATTTACGTGCATTTATATCGGAAAAGAATAATTTTTTTTTCACGAATTCGTTTTTTAGAGTGAAATTTTTATAATATCGCGAATGAAGAAATTTGGATAACTTTGCATTGCACCTGAAAATCATCCCAGCGGCGAAAGCTCCCTCGGACAAAAGCATGGGATCGAAAGCGTGCCATTGGTCTCTGGGATACCAAGGATCCAACCCATTTCTGTACTCTTTCTATAGGGTGAATGATCGAATCAAACAATTACTATCATGTTAAACGGAACGAAAGTTAGAAATTTAAGAAAAAGAAAAAAAATATATACTTGAACAATAATCCATGCAGTTATTCTCAACATAATCCAAATTACGTAAAATATATTCTGAACGAAATCCACTATATTCCAAAGATCCGATATATACTCCATCAATCCATCCGACCATAATGATCTTATTTCTCCAAGGATCAAGCCTGAAAGATTTAATCTGTTTAAAAAAAAAATGTATATTATACATACATGTGTGTGATTTATCTCAGAAAAAAATTATAAAAAATTATAAATGAAAATTAAAAAAAATTATTTGAAATGAAAACTTGTTGTAACTTAAGAAGCATACATGATTCAAAATTTTTATTTGCAATTGAAAAGAGACTTATCAAGACATTTTATTAATAAATATTGTATCAATATAAAATATGGAAAATAAATATAATGGAAAATGGGATCATTTTTATTTATTTTTAAGAAAGAATTAATTTGTTTACTGATTACGTAGATGATGACACCGGTTTCGACGAAGCCAGGTATGCATCCACGTTCACGTCTTTTCCATCCAGCCAATATCTCGTGTAACCAGTCGTTTCCAAATAATTCGATAACCAGGTACTCGATACGTTGTGACGCCATTCCAAGAAGCACTAACGGAAATTTCAATCGGCTCGAGTCTCGTTATAACTAAATTTTCCAACAACTAATTCTTTTAACCGCGCCACCCCTTTTATCGAAAGACTTACCTTACGAACAAACTAATTGAAAAGTTTCTTCTTCTTGCTCTTCCTCTTTTTTTTTTTTTTCAAATACATAATTAATTAAAAGTCGAACTTTAAAGGCTAATTTGATTTCTTATTTTTAGAGAAAGAAATTAAATTTATTTTCCTTATTAAAGTTCATTTCAGGGGTGAATAATATAAAAATTAATCGGTTGAAAGAATTTGTCGTTCATTCTGTGAATCTTTTCATGTTTTTTTAAATAGTAAATAATAAGAAGTTAAAATAATACAAGATTAAATAATTTCTCTATCTTTGTGAGTTAAATAAATTGAAAAAAAACTTTCTTATTCATTGAACAAGAAGATAATGAAAAAATAACTTGATTAATAATAATTATGATTATGATATAAACTTTTAATAAATGAAATCAATTAATTTTCTTACTCAGAAAGAATGCGTAGGAGGAGGAATGACAAATGAATTTGACAAAAGGTTTCTTCATGAACAAGCCCATCGGTGATGTTGGTGAGAGCATATAAATAGTACTATACACTGGGAACATTGCTGCAAGTTTTCCAACATCTATAAGTTGTCCAATCATATTTTTCCTTCGAAAACCGGGCAAACCATCGTACCAGATAGCGGCCAGTAATTGTTGAACATTCGGATGAGCTACGAACTTGAAAAAAATGAAAAAAATATATATATACATATATATATATACATATATGTATCTATAATATTTAATAACAATCATGTCACCTGTTTCTGTTTGTATTTAATAGCAAGCTTGAGTCGATCCAAGGTTTGTCGTTCTCCAGGCTCCCAATTTTCACCGTAAGGATTGTAATTTAACATTATCTCCAATTCTAAGGACGTGCGAACGTGATCCAGCAAGGATGTGGAAAAATTTTGCGTCAGTTCTCGCATTTCCTATTCGCAGAATAATTGCACGAAAAATTAAAATAAAATAATTCCTTCGTTACCAAATGAACAAAAGAATGAACACAGAATTGAACCAATTGGCTGAAAATTCACACCTCATATTCGAAACGGAACTCTTGTTCCATTCGACTCAATCGATGAAGTTCCCAAGAAAGTTCAAAAGCTGTGAGAAGAGGATCCCTCGAAGATAAAGCGATTAAAGATGGCGAGGTGAGAGCACGATACGCGTTTATTCGTGCTTGGGAATATCTCAGAGAATCTTGTTCGCTGGATGTTACGCATTCGTCGCATCCACATCTGGAAAATAGAAATAATATATATAATACATATAATAATATATATAATACATATAATATATATATAATAATATAACATAAAACATATAAGAAGAAGATGGATAAATATTTTTTCCAAATACAATTATTTTTCTTTGTGACAAATATTTATATTTAATAAGTTTTGTTTGATATTGATATTGATGTTTAAAAATTTATAAATGAAAAAAGTCTTAAGATCTACTTGAGTAGAATTAAAGTAATATTGAAAGTAGAATTATTTAAAGTAGAATTAAAGTAGAATTAAAGTAATATTTGGATAAGATATTAGGATTAATAAATCAAGAAAGAAATTTTATCTTTAAATTGGAAATAATATATATATTTTAATAGAAGTTACTGGACACACGTGTATTGGAGAACACGTGTTACATTTTCAATAACATAATTAGTATTCTTAATCGAATAACTGGCATCATAAGTGGAAGACAGAGATTGGACATGAAGCCAAAAAATGTGAAATCGGATTCGATTTAAGTTTCTCACGAATTAATTATAGTTTTGCTCGTGGAATATTAAAATTATCGATTGATAAAATTAAATTTCGACTTGTACCTGGCATCGTGAGGAATGGGAAGCGTAGCGCCACGATCCAACAGAATTTTTAAAATTTCATAGTTGTTCTTATGCGCGGCCAGAATTAATGGAGTTATATCAGAGGTGAAATTCGACGATGATTTGTCAACAGCTTCCCAACTCTGTGAAGAAATCAATGAAATAGAGATTTTCTTTGTCACTTTTCAAATTCTTTCTTTAGAAAAAATATTATTTGCAAATTCGTTCGATCCACAAAATGTTTCAAAAATATGGTGAAATTGAGTAATAATATAGTTAAAATAAAAAAAAAATATCGAACGAAAGGGGAAAAAATGAGCTTATTGAATTTACATAAGGTTGGCCGGGCTTGTGCGTTTTTTCCTCCCATTCCAGTAAGATTTCTACGGCTTCCACGTATTCTTCCTTTATAGCATGTAAGAGTCCATCCTGAAGAGAAAAGCGAAAATTATATATCAAGCGTGTGATGCTTTATCGGTGGTGTTTAGTTCTATCTATCCATCATTATTCACTCATAGAGAAAATAAAACGAAAACGTTTTGTTTCTTCATCTTCATCTTACCTTCACTTGAATCCCTAAGTCGAGAAGTAGCTTGATGAGTTCGATGTTCTCGTTTTCGATGGCGGCGATCAGAGCGGATCGATTCAAAGGATCCACGCAATTGATATTAAGAATTTCCGGATGATCCTTGTTCTCCTGCAATAATCTAATAATATTTCATTATATCTCTGTATGTATAATCAAATATAATTTAATATTTTGAAAATATAAGTAATCTTCTAAAAAAAAAAAAATTCGACATTTTCACTCGTATAAAATAAATCGTGGATCGGAAAATCAAAATTCTCTGCCGTCAATCTCCATTAAACAAATTGATGAATATGGAAATAGAGAGAAAGAGAAACGTAGCAACAACGATCGTCGCCATTTTTCACGACGATTCGAGATCGATTCTACGACCCCCCTCCTCGGCCCCTCTACCTCCCCCCAAACGATTTATCTTCCGGCCGGGCACGAAGGATTACCTTTTGACAGTGGCACAATCACCTCGTTCCGCGCTCAGCAGGAAGTGCTTCTCAACTGGGCCAAGAGTATAGTCCGTGGGCGCGTTTAGAGATTGTAGCGATGGTGCTCTCGCATCATCCGTGAGAAGATTCTGTTGCGACTCGGATGGATTCATTCCTGCTTCGATGTATATTCCCGGAGATATTCACAGGGAATGGTTCATCGAATATATATATATGTGTACCTACGAAAATTCGTTGAAAAATTTGTTCAATGCGAAAGGAAAAAATTTTTTGGCAGTTAGAATTATTATCGTATAAGTATTTTTCTTTTTTTTTTTTTT